ACACACAGGATCCTCCTGCAATCTTTCTGGTTGCTCAGGCTCAAAGCCCTGGAATCCTCCATGACCCCTCCTCTCCCATCCCACAACCAACTCATTAGCAAATGGGGTCAGCTCTGTCTTCAAAACACACACAGACTCCCCTCAGCACCTGCACATTACCTCCTGGCGACTCTGTCCCACCTCCCACCTCCAGCACACGCCCCCCACTTCAGCCCTTGCCAGCCACACAGTCTGCTCACAACCCAGGACCCTTTAAAACTGGTCATGCCCAGTCTTTCCTGCACCCCAAAGTCTCCAGTGGCTTCCATCTCAGAATCAAGCCAAAGCCCTAGGGAGACCACAATGAGGGTGACCAGATCTCACAAACAAAAAGGCAGGATGCCCTTTAGGTTTGAATTTCAAGGACATGCTAAGTGAAATAAGCCAGACACAGAAAAACAAATACCACGTGATGTCACATGGACATGTGAAATCTGAAAAAGCCAAATTCATCGAAGCAGAGAGTAGAGTGGTGGGTACCAGAGGCTGAGGGCAGGGTGAGGACTGGGGAGCTGTGGGTCAAAGGACACAAAGTTCCAGTCAGTCAGAAAGAAAGAGCACAAGCTCTCCATGGTACACCGTGGTGATAGAATGACAGCGTACTGTATTCTTGAAAATCGCTAAGAGTAGATTATAAGTGTTCTCACCACAGGAAAAAGAAATGATGTGGGAAGTAATGCATATGTTAATTAGCTCAATTTAGTCATCCCATAAATGAATATATATTCCAAAACATCATGTTGTAGGCCACAAGTATATACAACTTTTATTGGTCAATTAAAACAATGTTTTACAAAGAAGAAAGGGATATTAGGAAATAAAAATCTTTTTTTGAATTTCAGGGAAAGGCAAACTTGCGTGGCACATATTTATACTAAAAAACTATTTGCTGTTTATCTGAGATTCCAATGTAATTGGGCATCCTGTATTTTTCCAGCAGCCAGACCTACAAAGCCTGAGATGACCTGGGCCACCCAGAACGCTGTTGTACCTCACAGCCCCCAACTTCCTCTGCGGCTTGGGTGTCCTGCTTTTCCTGGGGATCCAGAAAGAGTCCCTCCACTTCAGGAATGCACCTGCCATCCCCTCTGCTCCCAGTGTCCCTGTGGCCCACTCCCCTGGCCCCTGCAGGTCTCTGCCCAGATGCCACCTCTCACCGAGGCCTGCCCTGACCAGCCCGTACAAAACATCAGCCCTGTCATTACTCCACTCACTGCTCCGCAGCTTTTATGACCTTCCACAGAAAGCTGTCTCCTTGAAGGCAGAGTTTCATCTCTGCTGTCCACAGCTGTGTCTCCACACTGCAGACAGTGCCTGGCATGTATTAGGCAGTCAATAACTATTTCCCAAATAAATGATGTCCCTACTGCCACACCCTGGCCACCTGGCAAACTCCTTAAACCACAAGGACAGCTCTATGGCCTCTCCTCTGCAAAGCTCTCCCTGACCACACACGTGTCCTACAGGCAAGGAGAGCCTCTTCACTAGACGATGAGTGCCTCTGAGGTGGCGCTGGTGTCCCATCCACCTTTTTATCCCCAGTGCCACATCGATGCCAGTGTGGGAGGTGCTTGGTGGATGCTGTGGATGAACTGCAAGTGGATGAGCCAGTGAATGAATATCTGAGTGAGCAAAGAAATAAAGAGCATAGGAGTCAAGCAGAATTCTATCTCTAAGGCTTCCTGCGGGGGCTGATTTGATTCCCATTGCTCCTAAAGGAAGACTTCTGATGTTTATCCCCACTGGGTAAAGAATAATGAAGAAGGAGATGGTGATGCCCTTCCCTCCCGTCTAGTCCACATTCTACAAAGTGTGTTCACCTCATTCCATGATCTTCTCACCAGCCTGAGAGGCAGCTATCACTACCCCATGATTCAGATGAAGAGACACAGGGCCCAGGACATGAAGCAACTTACTGGAGCCACATCAGGAGAGGCAGGAGGAGATGCAGCTGGGACCCAGCCCCAGCCCATCCAAACCTGAAGGCCTTCATGCCCCACTGCCTCTCCAGCTTGCCCAGGGTTACAGTGACCCATGCAGGCCTCCCGAGCCAGGAGGAGAGAGAAGTCAGGCTGCACAAGAGGACAGGGACCCTGCCCAAGGCAGAGCTGCTTTGCCTGCTCTTCCCCTCGGGCATCCTGGGGACCTGACCCTATTGTCCACCCATGTATGTACTGTTGTAACTCTGTCTTTGATAGTGGTTCCGTTGCCCACACCAGCTTTGGAGCCAGTCCTCCATAGGCATCTGCCCTGAATCGTTTCACTTGTCTCAAAAGATTTTTGATATTAATGTCATTCTGCACTAATGAGTCCAGCCCACTTGGTCCCAGCTGGAGCCTCCATTTTCTGCTGATTAATTGGTACAGATCTCTGGGGGGGAGCAAGGGGAGGGGAGGGGAAGAAAGAGGTGGGGAAAGAGAAAGAGAGAGAAGAGCCATTTCCAGAGCAGAAATAGGTTTCCTCTGCTCACCAGTGATTATTCTCCTTAACCGGAAGCCTTCAGCTATTTATGGAGCAGAAACTAGAGGGCCACACCCTCCTCAGTCACTTAACTGTCCCCACTTCAGGAAAACTGAGACCTGTGGATACTGTCCCAGGGTATAAAGCAGGGTCTGGAGGAAAGCACAGGTTAAGAACTGGTAGACTTGGGCCAGCACAGTGGCTCACACCTGTAATCCTAGCACTTTGGGAGGCCAAGGCAAGTGGATTACTTGAGGTCAGGATTTTGAGACCAGCCTGGCCAACATGGTAAAACCCCACCACTACTAAAAATACAAAAATTAGCCAGGTGTCATGGCAAGTGCCTGTAATCCCAGCTACTTGGGAGGCTGAGACAGGAGAATTGCTTGAACCCAGGAGGAGGAGGTTGCAGTGAGCCGAGATTGTCCCTGCACTCCAGCCTGGATGACAGAGACTCTGTCTCAAAAAAAAAAAAAAAAGAATCAGTAGACTTGGGTTCTGACTTATCCCAGCTCTGCTCTGTGTTGCCCTGGGCAAGTCACTGGCCTCCCACGCCTCATTTTCCATCTGTAAAATGGGGACAGCAATCCCACCAGAGCACAGAGTTGAAAGCTCTTGGATTTGACAACTTGGCTTTCAATTCCATATCTTCCATTTAGCATGGCTGTGTGGCTGTGGGCAAGCTGCTTCACCTCATAAGCAAAATGGAAATATTAACAGAAGCCACCTGATGGGGCTGCAGCGAGGATTGAAGGAGAGATAAGGGAGGTGCAGTGCTCTGCCTGGCACCCGGCAGGATCAGTAAATGGAGGCTACTGTTACCACATCTGGAAATAGCCACCTGATTAAGCAAAGCATGTGACTCTACTCGGTGGAATATTATGCAGGCACCAAAATGGATACACAGTAGATGGTGCAGCCCAGGAAATGCCTATGTCCAAGTGCCTCCCTCACTAGAGCTATTCAAGGGAATAATCATCTCCATTTTACAGAAGGGATAGTTGAGGCACATAGAAGGGCCTTGAGCGGTCCCAGGTCACAGAGTAAGTAAATGGCTGAGCTGGGAATTGAATACGGAGAAAATCTGCCTCAAAATGCAGATTCTATCCTCTCAGTCACAATTCCTGCACACCGTATTTTAGAAACTGATTTGCTGAAGTCATGAGCCTGCAGGCTTTCATTTTGGTTTCTGTCCAGGTGATCATGTTGCTGTGCCATTGAAAATCATTTTTTAAGGCAGATAATAATGCCTGACCTGCACTCCCCACCTGGCTGATGTGCAGAGCAAAGGAGCTAAAGGTTTGTGTGGGCTCTGGCAATAGGACAGAGCGTGTGAGCAATAGGTAGCATCATTCCAGGACCGGGGTGGCTTGGCTTCAAACTACACAGTCATTCACTCATTTATTCTACAAGCACTTATTGAGCCCAAAGTTATATGTTCTAGCCTCAGAGGACACAGCAGGGAACAAGAGAAATTACATATTCCTGCCTTCTTAGAGCTGACATCTCTGGGGAGAAGACAAACAATAGACAAATAAACAGATACAAATATTAGAGAGGAAAATAAAGCAGGATCAGGGCATTGCGGGGTGCAGCTCCTTTGTTCATGATGTCATGGAAGGCCTCTCTGGTGAGGCGCCATAGGAGGCTGAGGTTTAAACAAAGGAGATAAACCATGATATCCAAGGGAATCTGGGCAGAGAAACAGCAAGTGCAAAGGTCCATAGTCCGTTGGGGCTGCTATAACAAAATACCATTTTGTTATAGCAGCCCCAACGGACTATGGACCTTTAAAATGGGACACTTATAAACAACATAATTGGCTTCTAACCATTCTGGAAGCTGGGAAGATCAGGGCATCAGCAGATTCAGTGTCTAATGACAGACAGCCTGCTTTCTGGTTCATAGATGGCACTTTCTCACCATGTCCCCACATAGTGGAAAGGACAATGCAGGTTTCTGGGGCCTCTTTGATGAGGGCACTAATTGCATTTGTGAGGGCTCCACCCTCATGACCTACTCACCTCCCAAAGGCCCCACCTTCCTAACACCCTCACACTGGGGGTTAGGTTTCAACATACAGATTCACAAGGGCACAGTTGGACCACAGCAGGCCCTGAGGCTGAATTATACCTGCGAAGTTCAGGAAACAACCAGGAAGCCAGCGTGGCTGCGGCAAGTAGGGGAAGGAGACTGGGACACAGATGCTGCAGGGCCTCACAGGCCACCATAGGAACTTCAGAATTTACCATCCAGTGTGAAGGATCTGGCTTGTCATTCTCTCATTGGCTGTATTGTTTGCATTTCAAAGGACATGAAATTTCCCAACAATTTCCCATTTCTGACCAGATAAAACCTGAACTCCCAGATGTGGCATTCAAAGACTTTCAGAGTAAGGGAAGGACAGGGAGGTGCTCAGTACCCCACTTTACTTTCCAGCCTCCAATCCCCCAACTCCCCACCATACAGCGTCACCCCTTCCCCTCCCCCACCACCCTCCATCACACCTCTGTGCCTTTGCCCATGCAGGGCTCTCTGCCTGCCTTCACTCAGGCTGACACTCAAATACTTGGGGAGCACCTCCTGAGTGCCAGGCCCTATGGGAGGGGCTGGGGAAACAGTGGTGAGCAAAACTATCCCCATCTCTGCTCATCTGGCTTCTAGCACAGAAGACAAACACTAACCTGGTAAGTGCAGGAAATAAGTAATTATCATGATGGGGAACTGTGGGCCGCGGCAATGCTCACAGGGTGCCTGACTGCTCTGGAGTGAGGGTCATCAGGGAGCCCTGAGGAGGGAGCATTGAAGCTGAGACATGGAATTAGCAGCAGTCAGCCCAGGAAAGAGGTGGGAAGAACTAGTGCTCTGGAACAGCACAGCGGAGGGAGGAGGGACGGAGTGAGGAAGAGGGCAGAGCTCGCCCAACCTTCTGAGCCAGGCCAGGTAGGGAGCTCAGCAAACAGGCAGCGCCCGCCTGGCTCAGCGCTAGGTAAACAGGACTCTGCCCCGCACCTGCTGCCTCCTCACAGCCTGCAGCTGCAAGGGATAAATATTTGCCTATAGACCTGTCTAACCTAATGAGTGTTTGGGCATCTGCCAGGCAGGCCTGGCTGGAAACTGGCAGGAAGGGGGACAGTCCTGGGGGATTCCGGCGCCTCACTGTCTGAAGCCCTGAGACATAGGAACAAACCTAGAAAAAAACCACAGCCAGGAACCATGGGCAGCACATCACCAAAGGCCTTCCCTTGAGCTTCAGAAGGGTTAGGAAGGCCTGACACCAGGAAACCAAGGACAGAGTGACCCCAAAAAGGGCAGCCCACTGCCACACCTGACCACAGCTGCCAACCGCAGAGCAACAGCTGCCTGTGTCCTCCGCCCTTTCCCGCTCATTTCTCCTCCTCCTCCTTTGAAATACACTAAATGCATGCTGGGAATAAATTAATTCTGTATCAGATAGCTGAGAGAATTGCAGAATTGTACATCTCCACCTTGTGCCTTTTGAATTTTTGTGCATTATTGGATATTGAAATGAATAAACAAAATCACAAAGTGCACATGTTCATCATTTTAAAAAATCAAATTGTAAAGAAGATTAATTTATTGAAAATAGAACTCTCCTGATTCCCTAATTCTTCTTCCCAACTTATCTCCATCTTAACTTTGGTAAGATTTCATTTTCAACATAAATAGCATCACATCACACACCCTGTTCTCCCCTAACGACATAGTTTACCCTGGGCACCTTTCCACCCCCATGCATCTGGGACTTCCTCATTCTTTTTAGCAGCAAAAATGTTTTCCATGACTTGGATGTACTGGGATTCATGTAGACCCATTTTGGTGGGCATTTGTTTCCAGTTTTGTTTTCTTTTCTTTAGGTTTTGGGGGGTTTTTTTCTATTAAAAATAACTCTACTGAACAGCCTTTTACTTGCATCTCTGCATATTTGTTGGAGTTTCTTTGGAGAATAGATTCTAAACTGGAGGGCAGATGGCTTGTACACTGTTTACATTTTACAGACATTGCTACACTGCCCTCCAAAGATGCTGTGCCCCTTCCCCTGCTACTGCCACAGCCCAAGAAAGAGCCTATTTCCCTGCCCTCAGCTATTAGGAAACCTTTAGCTCTTTGACAAACTCATGAAAGATGATACTTAGTTTGTATTTCTTATTTATTACTGAAGTTGGGCATCTTTTAGAGATATGTCATTTGTGTTTTTTGATGAACCGCCTCATTATACACTTTACACAGCTTTTTATAGGGGTATTCTTTCCTTATTTTGTTTTAGCAATGTTTTAGCATCTACTCTGCAGTGGATATTATGTTCAACACTGTGTTGTGAAACAGGATAGAGTGCGTCTGCACTGAAGCAGGGGCCAGAAGCAAAGAACAGTTCCTGTGTGGGCCATTCCCAACACAAAAGGGAGGTCACCAAGCCTTAAATCTGGCGAGACTTGAAGCATCCGATTACAAATGGATTGAACCTCCATTTCCTTATCAGTAAAAACAGAAAAATAATTCCTGTCCCTTGGTGAGAAAAAGCAGAAAACCGTATGTATAAGCCAGGGTAGTTTTAGTTGATAGTGACAGAAAATCAGTCAAAGCTGGCATAAACAAAAAGGAAACTTACTGATTCATGTGACTAAAAGCTTCAACTTCAGGCATGGCTGGATCCAGGTACTCGAACATCATCAAGCATCATCTGGCTCACTCCATATTTCTGCTCTGCTTTCCCCTGTGTTAGCTGCATTCTCCACCTGGAAATACTGAGACAGCCCCCAGTAGTTCGAGACTTATATCCTGTTGATTCAACCGTCCATGGAGAGCAGCTCCAGCAAAAACGCAGGGATTAGCTGTGAGTCTGGACTGGGTCATGCAACCATCCTCAGGCTAATTACTGAGGCCTAGGTGAAAGATGATATAGATTCACCAGGCCTGGAGCTGAGGGATGAGAATGAGTCCCATATGCAGCATGTGACCTGAGCAGGAAGATGAAGAAATTCAGCTGCTGTTACCAAAAGAAAGGACAGGGTAAAACTACAGATGTCCCTATGCTGGACTTTAGCCCTGCCTCAGCTATGTGACCCTGGAAAAGTTATTTCTCCTCTCCAGCTCTTGAGTTCCCCACCTGTAAGATTCTGACTTCAAACTCAATCGCTGATTTTGATGCCTTTTGTAGCAGAAAACTTTTTTTACTTTTCAATAAACAATACATGGAACCCAATACATAGGATAGATAAGAGCTATGTTTGATTAGAAATGTTATTTGTGTTTTTTTATTTTTATTTTATTTTACTTTAAGGTCTGGGATACACGTGCAGAACTTGTAGGTTTGTTGCATAGGTATACATGGGCCATGGTGGTTTGCTGCACCTATCAACCCATCATCTAGGTTTTAAGCCCCACATGCATTAGGTATTTGTCCTAATGCTCTCCCTCCCCTGCTCCTTACCCCCCAAGAGGACCCAGTATATGATGTCTCCTTCCCTGTGTCCATGTGTTCTCATTATTCAATTCCCACTTATGAATGAGAACATGTGGTGTTTGGTTTTCTATTACTGTGTGAGTTTGCTGAGGATGATGGCTTCCAGCTTCATCCATGTCCCTGCAAAGGACATTATCTCATTCTTTTTTATGGCTGCATAATATTCCATGGTGTATATGTGCCACATTTTCTTTATCCAGTCTATTGTTAATGGGCATTTGGTTGGGTTGGTCCCAAGTCTTTGCTATTGTAAATAGTGTTGCAATAAACATACATGTGCATATGTCTTTATAGTACATTGATTTATAATCCTTTGGGTATGTACTCAGTAATGGGATTGCTGGGTCAAATGGTATTTCTGGTTCTAGATCCTTGAAGAATTGCCACACTGTCTTCCACAATGGCTGAACTAATTTACACTCCCACCAACAGTGTAAAAGTGTTCCTGTTTCTCCACATCCTCTCCAGCATCTGTTGTTTCCTGACTTTTTAATAATCACCATTCTAACTGGCATGAGATGGTATCTCATTGTGGCTTTGATTTTGCAAGAAATATTATTTGTTTAATCTAGTATGAGTCAGGATAGACCAGAATCTACTATGATAAATAAATCCCAACATCTCAGTGGCTTAACACGCAAAGGTTTGCTTCTTGCTCCTGTCACTGATCAGTGAAGATCTTCTCTATCCCTCAACCTGTGGTCCAGAGACCCACCCTCACACCATCTGTGGTTCTGCCATGATAAAGCTCTAGCCTCCATGGAAGGGGAAGAAGGCACATACCCCACTTCTGCCCACATTCCAGGGGCCCTTGGCATCTAGTTACAGGCCTCTATTCAAATGCAAGGGACTCTGGGAAATGTAATCTTCCTCTACCAGAAAAGGAAAATGACACTATATATTCCATAACATTTACTTATTATAAGGTCATTGAGAACAATTAGGTTGTTTTGCTAGATCAAAAAGAATAAGAAATTTGGTTGGGTGCAGTGGCTCATACCTGGAATCCCCGAATTTTAGGAGGCTGAGACAGGTGGACCACTTGAGGTCAGGAGTTCAAGACCAGCCTGGCCAACATGGTGAAACCCCGTCTCTATTAAAAATATAAAAGTTGGCTGGGCATGGTGGTGGGAGCCTGTAATCCCAGCTACTTGGGAGGCTGAGGCAGGAGGATTGCTTGAACCACTGCACACCAGCCTGGGCAACAGAGCAAGACTCCATTCTCAAAAAAAAAAAGAATAAGAAATTAAATATTATGGATGACAGATAGAGTCATGTCTTAACCTCAGCACTGCTTTAAGCTTCAAAACTTTTAAACTTTTTAAAGTTACAAATATGTTAAGAAAATCCCAGGTCACCAAGTAATAGCAGTTGATAATCCTAGCAGTATGTAGAACCTTACTTTGCTTGCAACTTTTGGGTCCTCTTTACTTATACAGAGATAGCCGGCCATCTCCAAATGCTAACATTTGGTATGCAATATATCCAAGGGGGGGGTTCTGCTTATTACAATGTTCAAATCCACATTTAAAATGGAAAGCTCAAATACAGTGTTTGTGGAGGGTTCTGTTTTGGAGAGCACAGTGCCGGATGATCTTTGGGCTTCATAATGCATGCATCTAAGTGGAGAACTGCCGGGGGTCTTCAGGCAAGATGCTTCCCCTCATTAGCCCTTGTTTTTCTCATTATAATAGGGAAGGCTCAGAAAACCCAAGGTCCTAGACCAAAAAACAAATAAAGAGACCACACACACACACACACACACACACACACACACAAAGATCTTTTGCTTTGGGTGAAGGCATCTGCCATGTTATGACACTGCTCAGGTAGACTGAATGGGGCAATGAAGAAAGCACCTCAGGCTTCCACACATCAGTCACTGAACAAGTCTGGAGACATCTGCTTCAACTGGAAGATTTATTGCAACCTCATGAGAGACTGAGCCAGAACCATCTATCTAAGCTGCCTTCAGATTTCTAACACTCAGGCACTGTGAGATAAAAATATTTGCAGTGTTAAATGCTATGTTTTAGAGTACTTTGTTACCCAGCAGCAGATAACTAATACAGATGATAAAGGGAATGATTTCATCTTAGGTGTGATACTGGTAGTGTGATTATGCAGGAGAATCTCCTTGTTTTTAGGATTTTCAGTCCAACGTATTTAGTGATTTAGTGCTGATACCATGCATACCTGTGACTCAGTTGATTACCTACAACTTAATAACCTGCAAAGGCCGTTAGCATGAAACTGCCATTTTTATAGATCAAAAATGGCCAAATATAAGCAATTTTGCATGTAATATAAACTAATATATGAGAACTGATAGCCTATGGCCCTTTTCTAGCCCATATACATGTCTGATATTTTTTAACATGCTTTATTTTAATCTTACAAATTGGGATTTTCACATGGAAAACAGATTTCTGGTCTCTCTTTAGAAAAAAATACCTTTAAAAGAAAACAGAGGGAAATCCTTGTGATCATAGATTAGGGACAGCTTTCTTAGCTATAACACTAGAAGAATGACCCAAAAAGGAAAAAGTTGATCAATTGGACTTCATCAAAATTCTGTTCTTCAAAAGATATTGCTAAGAGAAGGAAATTAAAATCCACAGACTCAAGAGAACATATTTGCAAACTGTCTATCAGATTTTTTAAAATCTTATATCCAGATTCTATGAAGAAGCTTCAAGTCACAAAAGACTACAGATTATATGATTCCATTTTCTGAGATGTCCAGAATAGGCTAATTTATAGAGAGACAGAAATAAGTAGTTGCTTAGGGCAGAAGCAGAGGGGTTATTATGGGGCTTGGAGTGATACCTAAAAGAATGGGGTTTCTCTTTGAGGTAATGAATATGCTTTAAAATGGATGGTGGTGATGACTGTACAGCTCTGTGAATATGCTAAAGTATTTAGCCCGAGCCCTGAAGCATGCCCTACCCCACCTCCCCACTTCGTTTTCCTCCATACCACTTATCACCATCTCACAAATATCTCGCAAATTTGCTTATCATCTTTATCATCCCACAGAATATAAGAATAATGACAGGGCCAGGCACGGTGGTTCATGCCTGTAATCCCAGCACTTTGGAAGGCCAAGGCAGGTGGATCACCTGAGGTCAGGAGTTTGAGACCAGCCTGACCAACATGGTGAAACCACATCTCTACTTGAAAAAATATATACAAAATTAGCAGGGCATGGTGGCGCATGCCTGTAATCCTAGCTACTCAGGAAGCTAAGGCAGGAGAATCGCTTGAGCACAGGAGGGACAGGTTGCAGTGAGCCGAGATCATGCCATTGCACTGCAGCCCAGGCAAAAAGAGCAAAATTCCTTCTTAAAAAAAAAAAAAGAAGAAGAAGAAGAATGAATGACAGCAGCAGAGACACTGTTTAATTCATTGCTGTGTCCTCACCACCTAGAACAGTGTCTGAATCGCAGCCAGGAGCTTAATAAAATATTTGTGAAATAAATGAATCCCTTTTTTTTAAGAGGCAGTGTCTCATTCTGTCACCCAGGCTGGAGTGCAGTGGCACAGTCACAGCTCGCTGCAGCCTTGACCTCCTGGACTCAAGCCATCCTCCCACTTCAGCCTTCCAAGTAGCTGGGACTAAAAGTGCATGCCACCATGCCCTGCTGAATCCCTATTTTATAGATGGGGAAACAAGGTCTCAACAGCTAGTAAGATCTGGCTCTTACATGGGTTTGACTTTAAAGAATGTTCTCTTATTAACCAGGGTCTGGCAGAGAGGGCCTCAGAGAACAGGCTTTGGAGTTAGAAAAGCCATGGCTTAAATTAGTGGCTATTAATATTTGAGAATCATTGACCCCTTTGAGAATCTGTTGAAAGTTTTGCATTCTTTACCCTGGGAAATGGACAAAAATATAAGCAAAAAACATTTTGCAGATGAATTCAGGAGCGCATGGACACTTTGGTACCTTCCTGAGTGTCTTTAGTGTGTGTCTTTGAATAGTCATTTCAACCCCCTGAGCCTCAGTTAACACTATGAAGTGAGGATAATGAGATTGACCTGACATGGTTGCCTGGAAGATCCAATAAGATCAGTACGAATATTTGAGGTTCAAATATTGTCAGCGCCCCTTTCCCCATCCCTACCTGAGCCTGGGTCCCAGGCTGGCCTCTCCCTTCTCCCGGCTTGTATGACTCTCAAACCCTTGTTTTCTATGAGCCTTAGTGCCCCCTGCCCAAGAAAACAGGATTATTGCTCTTTTAATGGAATAACTCTAATGAGATAGGAGAAGCCCTAAGGAAACACAAAAGCCCTAGAAATGTTTCCCAAGACATTCCTTCTGCTGCTGAAAATTGTTTTACTTTTTCAATTTCAGCTATAAAAAGTGTTCTGAGGTCCATGCCTTAGGATCTCAAGGATAATGTGGATAAAATCCCATTTCACCAAATCCTATTATAGTGCCCCTTTCCCATGGAAGGCTGCTCTCACCTCTGGATCACAGCCTCCCAGGGAGG